AGATCGCCAGCCAACACGACAGTATCCGTGCTTCTTCTGCAACGAAGGAGCTCGTGAAGTTTCTGATAGAAATCATCTTTTACCGAATCAGTGCTACAATTTGTAGGGACGTAGGCCGCAATGACAAACAGGCACCGTTTGTTCCCGCGCGACTTCGTAACACGGAACAAAACAGCTAATCTAACAGAGCACATCCTACTGTTTACTGGGATCCAATCAAGCAAGGCAGCTTCAGCCCGGGGACTCAAAACAATGCCGACGCCAGCTTGACCGGCATTTGAAGCTGCATCATCGCCAGACAGGCGCAATGAGAATGTGCCGCCAGTGTTGCATGTGGGGGATCGTAGGGTAATCACGGAGCTCGAATCTTGCAGGCGAGTTTCTGATGAACAGCAAATATCGATGGCAAGGGTCTTTAGTGTACGGGCAACTGCTGCCTGTTGTCCAAGCTGTAGTAAAGTGCGCACGTTGAGGCATGCCAATCTTAGCGAGACGCGAGGAATCCAAAGGGAAACGGATGAACTGACGTTGTCCGCTTGGTAGAACATGGACTTGTCGACTGGATTGGAGCGAGGCCCTGCGATTGTGTGATTTGAAATTAGAAGACAAGCGACTATTGAAGTAAGCTGGGGGAGGGCCAAGAATTGGGGGATTGAAAATGGGGGGATATAAGTAAAGTTGGAGCGGGACCATAAGGATGATGAAGCGCAAGAAGGGTGATAAGAAGACGAGAAGACCTGAGCAGTAGCATCCATACCCCTATCCACCCTGCTCGATGCAGCAGATAGGGCACCGTTGATTATCCTCTGCGGTGGTCAGAGCATCAAGAAATGGTTTGATGAAGGGTTCGTTGTATTGCGTGGGCAGAATACTGTCAGGTTGCCCAGGCCAAGATAGAACGAGTAGGGTTCTCAACCAAAGCCTTTGGTTCAAAAACCTGACCACAAGGCAGCGGGTTTTGGCACTGGACTACAGAGAGCCCGTTTTATGAAATAAGGAGCCACCCTCATTCCAACCCCGAATCTGGAGCACCAGGTGGCTGAGTTTGTCTGGCGTCTAAGCATTGACTGATCTGGTATGAGTGGCTCTGAAGGTGCAGAAAAAGCACCACCCAGCATAGCTCAATGGATCTGAGGCATGCAAATCATCGCACGACGGTAAGGTCCAGCCTCATTGCGATGGAGAATTGGTTTGGGAGTATTGCGAACGAAGCGCAACATTGCTCCAGCTAAAATAAGAGTGGTCCAATGGAGTAACGAGCGAGAGCCAGTGAACTCAGGTAGATGGCTAGTAGAAAGCAACCAGTGAAAGTGTGCTACAGTAAATGAATCGAATTACCGTATGGTAGTAAATCTCCCTTGGTCCCATAATGAAAGATATCCGGATCGCTGTCCAGTCTTCATTTTTGTGTATAAGAGGATTATCTTGACACTTCCCATGACACCGGATAAAGCATACCCACCACATCGTTGCAACGATAGCGATAGATTATTCTCTAACGAGTATGGGACTCAAAACAATACATACCATGGGTTGGAGGTCCAGGCTTCTGTTATCCTCTTCATCCCATCTTGGCTCACTATACTTCCCCTTGATTTTACTTGGCTCCACTGCAACCATGTGTCAGTTGGATCACTGGCAAGTTGGTTAGCTGGACTCCCAAATCCGGTTAACTATCTCTCCAATCGTAACTTCACTTCCGTTTCACCCGCTGGCACACCTACCATTCGTTTGTGAAAGCACTGACGCTTTGGTAGGTAAAGCACCCGGATCCTTTCTTTACATCTTCAACCCACCTTGCTCCCCAACACTTAGCTTCGGTTTTCACTTGACCATATCTAGCTGGTGAATCAACCGACACCTTGTCAACATCGATATGTTTGCCACTCAGGACTACTGTAACCTCGTAAACATATCACTGGCGTTCTGTTGGACCAATTCCATGCATAATCAAACTCCTAGCGCAGTTAGCCAAACTATAGAGGTTCGGCATTCTTGTTCACAGCCCACAACCCACACATCTTAAGTAATCCGAAATCCGTATTACGCCTCCTAATTGTAAACAACATCTGCAATACAATAATAAGGTAGTTGCTTAAATATTTCCCTTTTTCACTGTGCAGTAATGTGGACTTATTTTTCCCTGTTAGCCAAATCCATACTGCTGTTCCTTATGCTGAGTCCAGAAATTTGGTTGCGAGACCCTCCCCACACTATATTATTCTCGATTCCACACATGTACATAATTCCCTAGGAAGTTTTCGGCCTCCATCGCGCTAATACTTACTAATACTTGCTATTTCCCTTCTATTTACATTGATCCGGACCACAACTCGTTCAACGGTACGATGAGATACTTGCTACCGAAGAAAGTTGGATCTGCATAAGAATAAACTACAACTTGAATCCAATCCCACTCAATACAAATCTCCTCGCATCCGATAAACAATTTCAGTTTCAGAGAAAACTTGTACATAATGATCGGTCCAGGGTCTCTGGAACGTCTCACCTTTCTGAGAAATATACCTATTATTATTATTATTATTGTTATTATTAAATTTCATCGCAATCATCTTTTTAACATTTGAATTGGCATATCTGTAAGTAAAACCTTTGAGGAAGACTCATCATTTCGTTTAGAAAGAGACTTTCCCAAATGGTATACGGCCGAAACGCCAAGTCGTTTCATGGACATTCACTTTGTAGTGGAGTGAAAACCAGTCTAGGCTACTGCGTCGGAAGGAAAGAAGCAATGTCAGATAAAATATAGGAAGACGCTGACCTTTAGGCATGACCGGCTGGACTAACTCCACAGATATTTCACACTCCGTGACGGAATAGCCGAATGATGATATTCCACAGTAGTGCTTCTTCGAAGCTCAGACGTCCCAGGCACACAGACAAAACAAGCTCAACACGCCGCCACAGGAAAGCAGAACGCACCGATGGAGGTCGAGAGAAAGTGTACCGGAAAAGTAAGTCGATTAAAACAACTGTACAATACCGACTGAAAAACAACGTGCGATAAAGCGCAAAAAGGGAAATATCTATGAACACTACAACTTCCATCACGTGCAGCACGCAGATACCTCTTACTGACAAGCAGAACTGAACTACCAGTAAGGGAAGTTGACATAGCTGTTCAAAAATGCGAACATTCCTAGGTTGACTACAAGCATCTGGCTCCTTACGACCGATTGTGTCACTTTCAGGCACGCCCACCTATTATCTGGCAAAGGAACTATGGAGGCGCCTCAAGCACATAATCATTAAATCGCAACACTCCAAAAACAACGCCCAACAATTCTTGACGAAGCTCAAAGACCTACGAATAGAACACGATGAAACCATGGTGTCCTTCGATGTAACCGTCCTATTCACTTCGGTCAACTTAAAGCTGGCCAAAGAATTTATCGCAGAACGTTTGGACAACAGCGGAGAGAAGATTGGGAACATGACGACCAGAAGTGTATGCGAACTTCTTAACTTATGTCTCTCAAGTTACTATGCGTTCAACGGAAAAATGTATAAACAAGTGAAATGTGCGCCGAGGGGATCACCCGTAGCCGGACTCATTGCAGAGATTATCATGCAAAAATTGGAAGAGGATCTACTACCAATGGTTAATCCGAAACTTTGGGTTCGCTACGTCGATGATACGTTTGTAGTACTCCAAAGTAGTCAAGTATCGGTTGCACAACAACTACTTAACGACGCTACGGACGGCATCTAGTTTACCATGGAATCAGATAAAGAAAACAGGCTTCCTTTATTGGATGTGTTAGTAGCCAGAACAATGAACGGCGTTGCAAACATCAGTTTACAGAAAAAGTACACACACACACAGATTTTGAAATTCAACAGCAATCACTCAAGATGTCACAAAATAAGCTGTGTACAGACACTGTTCCGTAGAATGGCAACTCACTGCAGTACGACAGAAGTGAAACGAGAAGAAGAAAAACACTTATTCAAGTCATTTAAACGCAACGGGTACCCACGCAGTTTCCTCCGAAAATGCTTAAACCTCAAGCTCTCAAAAACCGAACCTACGCCAGCTATGACGAAACGTATAGTACTGCCGTAGATAAAGAACGTATCTGAAATAACAGCCAGATTGTTCAAACAACATCATATCATGATATGCCACAAGCCAACCGCAACCCTGAGGAAAACATTATCAAAACCAAAATAAAAGCGAGAAACACTAGAACAACGGAATGTCGAATATAGAATAAATTGCGTAAACTGTGAAAAGCACTATGTGGGACAAACAGGAAGGAAGCTGACCACAAAAATACATGAACACCCAAGAACGTGCGAGAAACATTTACGCAACCTCATTGGTTTACGCACACGTGGATAAAGAGGGACACAGCTTCGACTGGAACAAAGTAGAGATCTTGACTGAAGGAGAAACACAAAAATGGAGTTTCTAGAAGCCTGGTTCTCAACTACGAACTCAATCAACATGCATATCGATATCGATCCAATATATCAACCGCTGACAGAGAGCACAAGAGGATTAACAACCGTTGTTCGAAAGAACCTAATCCAACACACAGACAATGAACAGAATGGTCAATGTGAGCCCAAACTGCGCAGCCAATGACAGTGACTCGAGCACGACCGCAGAACACAATGATTCACCAATCAGAACGAGGCAAACTTAATAGCCCCGTATGCCTATATAAGGAACGGAGTGGTTGCTGACAGTATCCATTATTGGGTTTGCTTTCTACCAGCTCCTGCTACTTGATTGCTATCAATCCTGCACTGAAGATGCCACCTCGAATAGTAGCGAAACGTTTGCAACCGATTTGCCTAGCTCGGAGAACTCCACAACAGCTGAAGGGTTAAAACTTATTCGAAGTTGAAGGGGGCTGTTCACAATGCACTTTTGAAAACAGTAGAAACATGGAAAGGTCCATGACCACCCAGTAGATCGAGGTTAGTGAAAAATAAATGTCATCAAAGCAAGTAGACTGAGGTATACTCACCACTGCCTTGTATCCCTTTGCGCGGATCTTAGGAAAAAGCCCAAAGATAGATTGAAAGCGCAGAAGACCTTGCACGAATTGATAAATTATTTGTTGCTGTTGTGACAATGTGAAGTTCTAAAGAGGTTATACGACATGTGGCAGTTACCGCGAAACACTCAGGAGCCTCCATAGAAAGAACATCGTGATCCAAAGGTAAAAGAGTTAAAGGAAATTCGCAAATTGAAGAGATGCTCTTTGATACACCCTTTTCCTCCAAGAGAGATTTACATGCATATGAAAAGGAAGGAACGGCAATAATGTGATATTCCTTAGAATATTTCTTGTTGATCCGACTGTCCCTATAAGGGAAGGCATGAGAAACGCACCATGAATGTACCTTTGGATGAAGGAATGAATGTAATCGACAATTTGCAGGCTTGAAGAAAGAATGAAAACGACGGACTTGCATTCTGGCGGGGAGCAAGCATTTTCGTTGAATTCGATAAAAAATGATTTCGATACGTCGTGCTCCTGATGAAAAGTATATGTGTGACTTAATTGTCTAACCTTTAAGAGCGAATGACTAACAATAGTGCTAACTGGGTCGACCAGACGTCTTTCCCAATACAGTGCCTACAATGAAGTGCAAAAAGATTCGATTACCTTGGGACTGGAAAAGGTATCGAGTCTCTTGGTAAATTCGTTTTGATAGCTGTTTTTCAGCTCGACAAGATTGATGGGCCCAGCCGAATCCAGGTTCATGATATCAACTTTGGCAAGCCGGAAGGAACAAAGTTACTTTCCAGTGAACGACTGCCAGAGGGATGATTCAGCGCGTTTCGTCTAGAAGAGAGGGTGGGGAATAAATGATGTGCCTCACCTCAAAGTACGAGACATCAAACCGTTTCGTATGGCATCTAATAAATTGGTAAACCACCATGGGAAAGAGTAGCGATTCTGGCAACATCGTGGAGTACGCAACCTTCACTATCTGGAAGAGGTAAATCCGGAACGAAAGTTTGTTCAAAATGAGTGTTATATGTACTTGTCACCGGGTATAGACATTTTAATTACGACAGTACTCAGAATACGACTGCTAACTGCGAGTGGAAGAAATGTGTTAATTAAGCTGGTATGAGAAGGGAGAGTCTCGATTCACGCTGCAACGTTTAACAGCTACACTTTCCAACGATGCAGATGGCGGATGTGACGCAGGACGGGAGTAGTCATGGGCAACAGAAACATATCGGTATTCTGACACCATACAGATATAAAATGAGATAGGCGCTTCGAATGAAAGAGAAAAGAAGCATTGAGACCTTACGTGGGAAATAAACGCGTCAGAAGAAAATCCAGGCACCTACCCATAGTGAAAGCGAGTCAGGAACAAGTGACTACTCTGTGAGAATAAGGTGGTATCTGTGATAGGACACTTTAATAATTTTCCTTTCCCGGTTACAATCGATCTTGCTCCAAAGATAACGGGATTGTCGTTAGTAGTATCAGTAGTACATCAGTGATGCTTTGATAACGTACAAACATAAAGTAAGAAAGTACCTAACTAGTGAAACATAAAAACGAAATAAATACGATGTGGGACCCAACTGTCCCAGCGCCTCTACAATTAAACAAAAGTGAATTTTCACAAACATCGCTATCGCGTAAATGGGGTGGAGGTTGTGAAACGTTTACTATGTGACATTCAAGGTCCGGAGAATGACTAACTTTAAGCCATAGATAATTCAGTGACAGATACACTTTGATCAAGCAATTAGGTTAGAATACTGGGTGTCATATACCAGTCATATGTTGCAGGCACTCGGATAAAGCATGGTGGGGGTCGAATGGACACGGCCGACCGTGGCCTAAAGAACAAAGCGTCTACCTTGCAAACCGGAGGTCGCGGGTTCGAGCCTGTGTAGGGGACCGGGCAACCCTCGCAGTTTCTTTAGCTCACGCGCAACCGATGGTGGTTGCGTGGCAGCGAAGCGTCGGTACGGCATCTTGTTGATATTTTTTAACCAAAGAGATGGGACTTAGTAACGGCAGTCAGTGACGACATTTCACGATGCAAAATCAGCCAACACCTCTTCCAAAGTCGTAGGATACAGTATCGAGTAAGAAAAAATGTTTTCTGGTAAGAGATGAAATACCTTGTACAACATGTGCCGCAACTAGCTTCTGGATCCAACCAAGTATGATGAGTATCACCACCTGTATTGATCTGCGAAACCAATTGTCGAGGACATGTAGGGGTCTCCGACACGAGTGCTTCTAGGTGGGAATGATGAGTTTCGAAACCTTCAGAGTAGTTTTCACGGTGGGAAAGTACACTGTACTTTTAGAAGCAAAGCAACACCTTCCGGCACCAAAGATGTGAAGATTCAATAAAGGCAATTCAGTACAGCAATAGGTAAATTAACCCCAACATCCGCACACCCGTCACTGCTAAGGCAGCTACTACGACAGATAAATTGAGCAACAATCCACATTTCCTCATGAATAAGATGCGAATATCTCGTAGATGGACGATGGTTCTGCGACCTCATTGAAAGCGTAAACCGGAAACCGTAAGATGGGACTGCTTCGAAGAGATTTGTCAAGCCTGGCAGCTTTTAAAATGAAACGACTTACATATCATATTAAGGGTGAGAAACACCTTAGCTATTGTGCAGTCACAGAATACAATGAAAACAAAAGCAGAGACGATAAATATATTTTGTTACCTCACCCTAATCATCGCTTCAGCCGTTTCGTCGACGCTATCGCAATAAGCCGGGTGAAGCCAGATCTATGTGTGCAAAAACAATTGTCAGCTTAAGGCTGCCATAGACTTTGCACCCCAAGCTAATTTCGTCACACTCATAGTTAAGTATTTAGTTGCATATTGGTTATTTTAATGGCACGAAGGAGATAATAGGAAATGCATACATCTACCAGCTTTCGTCTTCTTACCGCACTTTTCAAATTGCTAAAGGGAACTAACGGATTTGAAGATAATATTATACCGTTTCGACTGTACGTTGAGAATGAGATCATGATTGGAGGGGTAGGCTGAGTAGGAGGGACGGGCACAGAGAAACACCCATACCACTAAAGTCGGCTCTTGGCCATACCAACAAGTGTCACCAACGAGACGCATTCGTCGTCTCTCGGACCCTAGCTACGGAACTGGGAGGCACCAATCGGGACCAACTCCGAAGTGGAAGCATTCGTCCCTCCTGACCAAGTTACCCGTTGGCCTCCCCTACTATTTTTCCACCCATACGCCGGTCGCGCAAACAACGTATATTCCCGGAGTCTATGTCCTGACATATGGTCAAGCCATCGGAGCTAGATGCGCGAATTGACGTTTCTGTGGTTCAGTTCCACTTCCTGCGCCATAAACAAGACGCCAAACACGCTAATAGGTTATGTTGTGTTCCCATATGTTGTAAGCCAAACTGCGAAGCTACTGGTGGTCGAACGCAACTAGCCTCTTTATGTCCACCGATCTGATGGGCCGGATTTAACAGTTAGCAGCGTTGTAGACTCCACCACCACAGCGCGAGGGCCATGACGCGCCCGTGTGGTAAATAGTAAGTTACCAAAAACACCTCGACCTTTTCTAAACGGTTTGTCTCCTCCTATTTCACAAATGTTGTTAAAGCTGCCAAGGCAGCTGAATTTCTGAGCCATTTCTAGCTGATCCCTACTAAGAGCCAGAGTCGAAGCGGCTGCGTGCCAACCTGCATAACAGGAGTGACCGAAAAATGTCCGCTGAAGTGACCGTTGGAGAGCGTTGAGCGACCTTTTCCCGTGGCAGTCCCAGTGAGACACATTCTAGACGGATTCCTGTCACTCGAGAAAATATTTAATGCAGCCTTGATATACGCTACGAATGCGTTTTTACGACTATAAATGCCGTCTATACTCGACGGAAATCTATTCCCGAATCGTGATTATGCAATACTGAAGCAGTCAAGGTGCACGGAAAAGTTTCCTAAGTGACCGTAATTCGTCCCGCAATTCGGCCGGGGGCATAAAAATCGGTCACTCGGGGCTTCCAAACAATCACGTGCTAAGTGAAAGTACAATTTTATTGATCAAAGACTTACAGTTAGAGACCGGTGGTTTTAATGATGCATCATAAAATTTAACAACATATGTAAAAAATACTACTTTTCATTCCCTTTTGCTTCTGTGAGTGACCAAAAACACCCACATAGGACGGCTGGCCGTCCATCTGTACGTACGGGAAATACTACAGGAACGCATTGTATTTGCAGGGTGTAAAGAATGGCTAGAAACGACTGACAACCAGCGTGGTTCTTCAGCGCTACTTGCAGATCTGTTAAGTGTCACAAAGTAGGGGAGCAGATAGCTAAATTCAAATCGATAAACCAGTCCCTTGGAAGCAACCCTACGACGCCTAACCGGAGCCCAGTGAACGCAGTTTAAACAAATTTGTCAGCAGCGATGTTGAAAATAAAATGCGACAGTCTGCAATCCTGCCTCTGCTGAAGATACTGAAGGGCAGAGACAATTTGCCATAAGCCATCACTCTGCCCGAACTATGTGCGTAAAGCGCATTGATGTTTACGTATTTCTCGGGCATATGTTTCCAAATTCGAAATTCCTAAAAGGATCAACAATCTATCGAATAGAAAGCATTCTTGACACCAGGGAACACGACAATGGTGGGTCACCAGTATACGTGGCGGTGTCCCAACTCATCATCATCAATACACGTTAGCTAAGGGTGAGATACACATCACAGCTAATGTGCCGCAATACAAAAGAAAACAGTACAAAAAAATTCAAAAAGTGTGTTGTAACGCTTCTTCTTTCCTATTGCTCTCGGCCACTGATAACTGTTGTACTGCTTGCTTTGCTGCCCTGTAAGGCTGCGACTGCCTGACTGCTCAGCCACGCGTCCAGTCAACCGAAGGAATACAAAAGGCCAGAACTCGGTAGACAGAGTATATCGACAGGATAGGTTAGCTCTATTTATTGGTAAACGAAACATGCAAATTTAAGAGGTCAAGGTCACTCACGCTTATACGTCTCGTTTTCAGCTAGCGTGAGTGAATTGCGCTCCACGGGTTTATTATATTGACCGAATAGTTTGAAGCCTTTGACGCAGGCTGGTATTTGCTGGTCGATCAATTCTCACTCGGTTCCCAAATCCAGCGGGAAGGTCAAAGCTCGTAGCACGCCCGTGCTGATGAGCTTTGCATGTAGCGGACAGTCTACGTGCTCCGCTTACGTCTCTATTAAAGTGAGTAATATATTGTCAAATATTGTATCACATATTGGATATGAGATCGTGATTGGAGGGGGAATTTAAAGGAGAGGGGATAGACAAAGAAACTCACAATACGAACGCCATTGAGACCGGTTGTTCTCCAGATCAACAAGTGTGTACAACCAAGCGTGTTCATAATCCTTGGGACCCCAACCGGGCAGTCGGGATGCATTAACCGACGCCAACTTCGAAGTGAGGGTCTTTATTCTACTTGACAAAGTCATTGCTTGGCCTCCCTTCATTTCTTCCATCCACATTCCCGGCGCGCAAAAATACTACGCGGGAGTCGGTGGGCTGGCATGCACAACACGTGGCCTAACCATCGGAGCCTTGTTCCAACGACTGGCGTGAAGTGAAGAATCGATACCGACGAAATCTTATCTGGCGTTGGCGAATCCGACTTTGACGGGTAAACAGCGAGATTATAAGTACAGGGGCAAACAATGTAGAAGCAAAGGAGATCAAACTGATTCTTCTATGGATGCTGTATTCTGTAAGTGGAATAATCAGCAGTACGTAGGCACGCCGTACCGATGTGTTATGGCCGCACGATTACCACCAGTCGAGCGCGGGATAGGGACAATGTGAAGTCGCCCGAACCCAAGCAGATTTGCATAATAACAGTGGATCTCCAGTCGGTTGGGACAGTTTCCGTTGTTCAATCAAAAAAGAGAGCAAATGATTTCCGAAAACCAAGAGAGCTTGAAAAGTTCTATCTGGTCCCGCGGCCTAATTTAATTTCCACAGTCTAGCCTCACGTTCGAGGTTTGCGTGAGAGGGCGGACCCAAAAAGAAGATACATGGAGCAGATCAGTCACTGACCGACAAGGGCGGCACTCCTAGCCGAGCAAATTGTTGTTCAAAGCGCACAACCTAATGCTTCAAGCGATTCGACAGGTACCTTACATGCTGTCCCCTCCAGTTTCGCCAACACCAGCTCTACTATTGCCCACTCCCCGAAAAAAAAATTCCGAAAGGTTGCCAAGAGAAACGACCGTCTCTAACTCCGATAAAAAAAACGAGAACAGCATAATTATCATTATATACACACACACGCACTATATAAGTAAGTTAGAGGTGGGGAACACCTCAGCTACTGTGCCGCAATACACAAAAGAAAAAAAGAGAATAAAATGCAACAGACGCAAGCCAACTGAGCTACCGGTAACGGATGGACATCGTTCCGGTAAGCTATCTGCCGGCTACTATGCAGCAAAAAAGTAATTTCCTATGCAAAATTATTAAATGCTAAATAATGAGATCGTGGTTGGAGGGGAGGCTAAGAGGCATGGGGTACGCAAAGAAACTCACAGCACGAACGCCACTGAGGTCGGCTCCTAGCCATATCAACAAGCGTATCCAGCCAAACGTCTACATCGTCTTTCGGACCCGAACCAGGGAGCCGAGACGCTCCAACCGAGGCCAGCTTCGAAGTGAGGACCTTCATTCTTCTCGAGCAAGTCATCGCTTGGCCACCTCTTCTTCCATCCACACCCCGATGCGCAAGCAACGCACGTCGCGGGAGTAGGTGGACTGGCATGCGTAACATGTGGCTGAGCCATCGGAGCCTGATGCGTGAAATAACGGTGCTGAACGGTTCATTTCCTTCTTCTGTGCCGTAAGCAGGGCGTCGAACATGCTCATTGCTCACGCGGTGTTCCCACCAGACGTGAGCTAAATTGCGAAGGCACCGGTGGTCGAACGTAATTAGCCTCTTTATGTCCGCTGATCTAAGGGCCAGGTTTCACAACCGTACAGCAGTGTCGAACGTACCGCTGCATTGTACACTCTACCCTTCAGGGTAGAGTGATGTCGCGCCGGCGCCATAAGTGGCGAACGTTAGGAAAAGCGCATCGAGCTTTTGCTATACGATTCGTGATTTCATCTTCAATCCCACGGGCGCTGATACAACTTCTCAGGTAGTTCGAAGCTGAGTTTAGGGAGCACGTTGTGTGGTTGGGTTGCGACTCGCAACCCAAATTGAGACCTCGGCTCACTTTGAGGTAAACGTCGGTCATTCCGATCTCAAGGACCGTATCCTGAATGGATATATTTGGGTGTTGCCAGGTGTTGGGAAGAGGAACACCCAAGTTTATCCATTCTCAGGTAGTTGAATTTTTGAAAGACTTCTAGCTGATCCCCACCAAGGGTCAGCGAAGGAGGCGGTCCAGGCCAAGCTTGGAGGAACGCTTTGCACTTCGATGGTGCGAAGCAAAGCCCGAAGCGGCTGACAGCCAGTGCTAATCTGCCCAGTGCCGCTTGGCACGTCTGGGAGCTGTCACAGATTAGGGCAACATCGTCAGCATACTCCAAGTCAATAATTCGTTTTCCTGGGAGCAGTTCCATACCTTCTAAGTCGTGTCCTGTGAATGTGATAACCATGACTTCGTCAATAGCAAAGTTGAAGAGGAAAGGTGACAGCGGGCATTCTTGTCTCACACCGCTGGAGATATTAAAGGGCGATGACAAGTTGCCGTAAGCACTCACTCTGTCTGAGTTACGCGCGTATAATGCTCGGATAATATTCACATATTTCTCAGGTACACCTTTCCTGAGTAGACAGTCCCAAAGTGCACGTCTATCCACCGAATCGAATGCACGTTTGATATCGATAACGGTGGGCCGTTAATATATGTGACGGTGCTCCAACAATTGACGTAAAGTGAAGATGTGGTCGATGCAGCCACGACTTCGACGAAACCCGGCTTGCTCTTCAAGAATATGGTTTTCACGAGTGCGTCAGTCTGTGAAAGATGACAGAGGCAAGCAATTTGGAGGCGATGGAGATCAGACTGATTCCTCTATGGTTGCCACATTCCGACCGCGAGCCTCCCTTGAAAATTGGGACTATGACGGAGCGGCTCCAGTCGGTTGGGACATGTTAGTTAGAGGTGGGAAACACCTAGGCTAGTGTGCCGCGATACGTTTGAAAAGAAATAAAGCAACAAAACCAAGCTAACTGAGTCAGCGGTAACGGATGGAGATCGTTTCGGAGAGCTAACAGCCGGCTATTCTACGTAAAATCATTATATTACGCATATGAATTGAGATCGTGCTTGGAGAGGGACGCTAAGCCCCATGACTTAGTTAATAGCGAAGTTGAACGGGAAAGATGACGGCGAACATCCTTGTCTTAGACCGTTGGATATTGTAACAGGGCGACAGCGTGCCATAAGCCATCATTCTGACCGAGCTACGCGCGTAAAGCGCTCGGATAATATCTACATATTCCTCGGACACACCTTTCTTTAGCAAACAGTCCCAAAGCGCACATCGATTCACCGCATCGAGAGCACCTTTGATATCGAGGAACAGGACGACAGTCGGCTGCCGATATAAGTGACAACAATCGACGCAAAGTGAGACGTGGTCGATACAGCCTCGATGCGGCTTGCTCCTCACGAATCTGGCTTTCACGACCACCAGTGGGTCTGTGAACGATTACAGAGGCAATCGATTTGAAGACGATGGAGATCAGACTGATTCCTCTATGGTTGCCGCATTCCGAACGCGAGCCTCCTTTGTAGATCGGGATAATAACGGAACGGCTCCAGTCGGTTGGGACAGTTTGCTGCTCCCACAGTTTCAATAGTAACTTGCGTAAATCGTCAAACAAGAGCAGGACGCCAGAATTTGTAGAGGGCTAGATGAAAATCATCTGGTCCAGCGGCTTTGGTCAACTTCAACAATCCGATCTCACGTGCGACTTCTAAGCGAAAGAACGGATCCAAAAGGACAGCCCAGTGAGCAAGACGATCAACGGCTGGTGAGGAATCTAACATTACCGGCCGACTAAGTTGCGTTTCAGCCCGCGGACTCAGGGTAATATCAACGCTGGCTTGGCCGGTACTCGGAGCTGCATTGTCGCCGGATAGGCGCAATGAGAAAGCACTACTAGTGTCACCTGAAGAAAAAGAAGAAAGAAAGGGCATCAGCAGAACGCCGGTACGCAGTACCGACGCTTCGCTGTCGCGCAACCACCACCAATCGCCTGAAGGGTATCGGAGAGCGAGCATAGAGCTCGGGTTTTGTAGACGGCTTTCCGATAGGCAGCAGATATCGATCGAGAGGGTCTCTAATGTTTGAGCAAGTGCTGCTTGCTGACCGATCTGTAACAATGTGCGTACGTTGAAACGCCAATCTAAAAGAAGATCGGGGGCTCAAAATAGAAGCCGATGAACTGGTCTTGACTGCTTGGTCAGACCTAGGTTTGCCGAAAGGACAAGTGTGAGGCTTCACGTTTGCACGTGAGTCGAAACTAAAAGATAAACTCCTGCATTGTATAGCTACTTGAGCAGTGAGGCTGTGATAGTAAGGTTAATCCACTATTCTTACAATGCAGATTTTGGAAGACGTAGCAGCAATTCCACTTTATCGACGTCGTCCACAGCCTGACTGCCATCCTCCTTAGTTAAACAGCCGACTGCCTCTCCTAGAGAGGCTTTTGATTGGACACAGGATTTAATTTCGCAAATCTGGTCAAGCTAAGTTCATATGAGTACTTCACCTGCCGTTGTTTCGACATCTTTTGTACTGCAGCCAAGTTCCGAGGCCCCGAGTTTCTCGGGATTTTCTCCACTCAGTATTGCGCCTTTTGTCAATCTTACTCCATCGTGGTCTTAGAGCACAGGGAAGAAAATTGGTTCAACAATTGCACGAGCCCACTTTTGAGTAAATGCCACCTCTGTTCCAAGGTCCTGATCAGGGATCCAAGTGATTTGAAGAGCTCGATCGCGCAACTTCGTAAAATCAATGCGATTGAAATTTCTCGCCAATCAGTGATTCCCTGTAAGCTTCGGTGTGTTCAGAGAAAAGATCAGAACGCTATGATCGCTCTTACCTATGGATGGCTCCACGCATAGGTCCATCAAAAGACCATGTCTGGCGATCACAATATTAAGGGTTGAGCGAATACCCCAGATACATCTGGTCGGAACATCGACGTATTGCTCGAACGCATTCTCGT